GGCCGTCGTTCGAGAGCTCCATTTAAACTAGGCAGTCCGCCAACTACAACTGGGTTGGTCCCTATTGGTCTGCCACAGTTAGCTGACTGTGCCTTCTTACTGATGTAATGCAGTGTTGACTAACCTGTCTGCGCCCTGGTTCCAGTCTCGCTTGACGTGCAGGAACTCGTGGGCCGGCCATGTTCTCAACCGATCTAATGCCCGTCGATGAAGAGGAGTCAGACCTGGTGCCTTGCACTCTATTTCGCCTCGCATCTGCCTTGTCACCACGTTGGAGTCCCCGCATATGATCAGGCGTCCCCGATCCAAGCTGGAGAGCAAATCGAATATTAACAACAGGCCCTGGTACTCCGCCTCATTCACCGTCAGGTCGTGCAAGTACTTCGATTCGGCGGCGACGACAATCCATTCAGGTAACTTCCAGACAATAGCGCTACACGCTCCACCGCCTCGTTTGACCCGTGCTGATCCATCGAAACTCACGACTAACAGTTCTTCGTCTGTTTCCACCGCAGGTATCACCGCTGGGATCAGCTAGCGTGGTTGCTTCCTCGGTGCGATAGAGGACAAGATCGAATCGATGTTTTCCCGGGGCGTGATGCTCGCCGCAATCGTACCCAGGATCTCGTCTTCGCCGCGTGTACACTTGACGATCTGAGCGTCCAAGGGACTAGCAGCGTCGGCCAGTTGCCCAGTCGGCCTTGGAATCCTATAGATTGCATCAGCCATGCTAGAGTTGAGTGCCGCGTTAGAACCTTAAGCGGCCTTGTGACCAGTGTGGAGTAGCACACATCCAGGATCCGGAGATGAGCCAGAATCTTTTTTTGGCCGTACCATAGTTGAGCTCGTTGGGCTCCAGCGTGCGACTGGTGAATGTCACCGGCATGTACGTGCCATCATGCTCCTGCACTAAGGCTGCGGAGATCGCCCAATCGCTCGCATATACCACGGCCACCGGTACGCGGTGTCCTAGGTAATCTACCTTACGGCAAACCCACAAGCTCTTCACCACGCTGATGGACAGGTTCCACTGGTCGCACGCATTCAAGAGTCGATCTACTCAGTCGCAGAGAGACTCCCAGGACTCAGCCGTTACCAAGATGTCATCGATGTATGATCGGCGTTCTAGCACTAGTGATCCAGAATCCAAATCCGGTTAACCAGCTTGGAATACGTCTACAGCGCCGGATTGGTCGCTGCCTTCCGGGATCCGGATATAGCCGTACAGTGCATTGTCCAAGAGTCGCTGATCGATCTGCGGCGCATTCTTCAGCCCGAAGGGCATACGCAGCCACTCGAACAGGCCGAACGGCGTGATGAAGGCCGACACCATGCGGGCTCT